TCCCTGACCGGGCTTGAGAGAGGTGGGGGATGTCTCTCCTGCCATGGCTGCAGGGAGAGGACTAGAGGGGATGCCCCTGAGCTGAGACAGGGCAAAGTCAGAGGAGATGTTGGGAGAAATGGTTTCCCCGTTAGGGTGTTCAGGCACTGGAATATTGCCCAGGGAGGTGGTGGTGTCACCATCCCTAGAAGTGTTTAAGAAGCATCTGGATCTGGTGCTGGAGGATATGGTTTAGGGGCTACAGCAGTGACAGGTTAATGGTTGGATTTGATGATCTTAGATGTCTCCTCCAATCTTGATTCTATGCTTCTAGGGCACAGGGTGAAGCACAGGCAGCACCCCCAGCACTCCCATTCCAGCCAGGATAGGACTACTCACCCTCTCGAGCAGGGCCTGGGACACCCCTTTGAGAGCGCTGGAGGTGCTGGCAGGGGATGCTGCTTTGGAAACCACTGGCTCCCCCACACTGGCTTCAGCAGTTCTTAAGGCCAGGTTGGCAAGAGCTTTTTCCATCTGCTCATGTGGAAAAGGGAGGAGGAGTTGGGTTACAGCTCAGGCTGGAGGAAGAAGAAGTTTCCCCTCTGCCGCCCCCGTCGTCACCCTGCAGCCCAGACATCCCACCCCAGTGCTCCCAACCCTTCCCTGCCTGCATGGAGGACAGCTTGGAGAGCTTTATGAGATCATGAAATGGTTTGGGTGAGGAAGCACCTTAAAGCTCATCCAGTTCCACCTCCTGCCATGGGCAGGGACACTTTCCACCAGCCCAGGCTGCTCCAAGCCCTGTCCAACCTGGCCTGGAACACTTCCAGGGATGGAGCAGCCACAGCTTCTCTGGGCAACCTGTGCCAGTGCCTCAGCATCTTCACATGGAAGAACTCCTTCCCATCTAAAGCTACCCTCTGGCTGTGGGAAGCCATTCCCCTCATGTCCAGGCCCTGTCCAATGTCCCTCTCCAGCTGTCTCAGAGCCCCTTTAGGCACTGGAAGGGGCTCTAAGGTCTCCCTGGAGCCTTCTCTTCTCCAGGCTGAACACCCCCAGCTCTCCCACCCTATCTTCATGGCAAAGTGGCTCCAACCCTTGAATCATCTCCTCTCCCAGCCTGACAGCTCCTCCAGCCTGACACCAGTCCTACACCACAACCTGCAGTAGTACCACCAACAGTACCACATGTCTCCACCTTACAGCGCTCCAAGTCTTGTGACTCTGAAACGATCCTTCCCAACCCCTATCCTGTCATACCTTCCCAGAGAGACAGCACAGATCCAGACCCCAGTCCTGACCCACCTTGGGGATCAGCATCCCCCGAGCTGTGCTCAGCACCTCCTGGGCCGTGCTCAGTCTGTCCTCCTGCGGCGGCCGCGGCAGCTCCACAGGGCTGATGTCTGGCACCTCATCCACGTTGAAGCGTGGGTGCCAGCGGGTCAGCTTCTCCTCT